TATTCGTCATCGTCGTCGGCGCGATACTTGCGTCTCCAGGATCGGCGGCTTGCCGATCGCTCCTGGCGGCTCATGGAGCGGTCCGAAGCAACGAATGCATTTTGGAATCCTCCGCCGTGGCCGAGCTCACACTGAATGCGTTCAGATAGGCCCCAACATCTCGCGGGTTTCCCCCGAGGGGCCGTCACCACATAATTCCATGTTTGTCGGATTGCCAATAACCCGAGGACAAAGCATCAACTGCATTGCCTCCTCTGTCGCAGGAATAATGGCTTCTGAATCTGCGGGCGCCCCCGCCACTTCGCCATCTCCAACGGCGGGCACATGGAAGTTCTCGATAAATTCAATATCAGCAGGTTGCCCCGCGATGGGTATGCCCAGCCAGTCTGCCAGATCTATATCACTGTGGCCAGTGAATACCTCCTCGAACAGCCCGTCGGCGCAATTCTCGAGGGACATACTGGCACTCAAATATCTGGCAGCCACGAAGGTAACAACTGCAACTGAGCTACCGGCAGGGTCGGCCAAAAGTGACCCCCAGTCGACATACTGAATATCCGAGTCAGTTTGAGCCAGATGTATCAATGAACCTCTGCCTCCCCCATCGCCCCGAGGGCATTCGCGGCGAAAGTGCTGTGCACTATGGCAGATGTCGCACTCCATTGTTTTACCGTTGGCATCCTTCGGGTTTCCCCGACGTCCCTTACCTTTTCCTGATGTATGCCTACGGTTCCTGCCTGCACCTAGGAATGTATATATATATGTATATTCATACTGTGGCCCAGTAAGGGATGCTAGGAATGCTAACATGCCTCTGCCGCGCAATCGCCGCCGCTTACCTTTACCCTTACCTCGACCCTCGCCTTTTCCCTTGAGCGCCCGTTGGGCGGCACGCCGTACTCTACGAACTGGCTTCTTCATGAATCGCCCCCACCTGCGTTTATGTTTCTGGTATCCTAAGAATAACCATTGCGACTGTTGTTCTTCCGTGAGGTACGTAGGCATATCGGAGTACGTAGTCAAGGGCAGCGGCCTCGTCGTCCGAAGACGCGTCGGTGTCAGTACCGGAGTCGAAGTCGGATTCAGCAGGTTGCCCCGCTGAGCCCATTAGGGCCGTGGCTTGCGCAGGGGACACCGCGTCGGGCGGCCCCCGAAACCTGGCCCAGGAGTCTTGCGACCCCGAAGCCGGACCACCATTCTGAGCCAGCGATGTGGCGGTCTCAGTTGGTTGCGGATCGTCATTCCAGACGTTATTAGCAGGTTGCCCTGCGTTTGCCTCAACGTGAAAGGTCTCGGTTCGGTGACCGTGGCTGAAAATGCCACCAATATTGCCAGTGTTTCTCTCAGCAATGTGAGCATGTGACCTCATGCGTTCAAGTTGAGAGTCAAACTGTTGCTGGTCCCTCGGCATGCGGTGGTTTAGTGGCTGCAGGAGTTGCTGTGCACGCGATGTCCCCACTCCAAGGGCTCTGAACAAAATAACTGTGAGAATTAATAAGTTGGGAATGTTAAAGCCCGCCGTTTCAGCTTCATAGCGGGCTATCTCGAAGCGTGCCAAATCTGGTCGATCCGTTCTCCTGCATGGACTCGGAAGTCAATGAGAGCTCTACCAGAGTTGAGTTGGCGTTCCTCTTCTAGGTTCTCGAACTTCGTACTTAAGGGGAAAATTATGTAGGTGACGCCATCGGTATGGCCGCCACCTATGTGAACACCAAAATTGATAATTGCTGGGGGAACTCTCATGACTATGGTCCGCGCGAGGCCTCCCAGGCCTCGCTGCAAGGCTGCAGCTTGCTGGGAGGGCCTCAGGTTGCCTGTGGTCACGTTGATCCAGGCATGCACCTCGCGAACGAATTCGCGGAAAAGTCCTTGACCGGACGGGTCCCAACGGGAGCCGGTCGTTCTTGTGTCGTCTTCGCCACGCATATGTCCTACCGCACACCCGATTGCTACCCATGCGAGCCCAAAGATAGTAATACCGATCACACGGCCTCGCAGGTCGTAGTCGGATGTAGTCGGTTGTGCTTTGCGGCATGTGGTCGTAAACTTGCGTGGGGGGTGGAGGCGGCACAATGTCATATCGCATGTTTCCATGCATTATGTCTTCGAAGAAGTTTCCACTTGGAGTAGGTGCGTGGACTTCAGGAGTGTAGTAGCGCAGGGATGTAGGACGCAGGTAAGAGGCCTCCGCGTAGGCAGAGGTGTTACTGTAAGTGTCCTTGCTATGTTGCGTAGCTATATACATTCCTCCGCGCAAACCCACTGCACCCTGATCTTCCACCACGTCAATTGTCCACCAGATAGTGCCGTGGATGGTGAGGAGTAGAGGTAGAACTGACCACCACAGGCCAGCTCCGCTACCAAGCTTGGGGTTTGGAGGCCCAACCAGCAGCTTCGCCGCAGGCGAAGGAGCTCTGATGTACCGTAGTAGCGATGGCCCCAGTCTTAGGAGGCGAGCCATCTCAAGCAGTTTTGGTATCGATGGCAAATAGTACACCTCGCGCTGAAGTGTAGTCAGATCTGGGCGGCCGGCCGCTTTGAGCCAAGCAGCCGCGGATGCACGCTCGTTCCCACTCACATGCAACACCCAGCTCACTTTAGAGTGGGGGGTCCTGGGGGGAGTCCCGGAGGGTCTCGTTTGGGGGCCTGGGTCAGATACGACTCCCCCCTGGGGTGTCCTGGAGCCCAAAAACCCCAAGACGAGCCAAGAGTGCCCCAAAAGGCCCCCGAGACGATCCAAGAGGGATTCGAATCCGCGTGTTAGAACACCCGTTAGGTGTCTTGCGGGACTTCTGCAGCTTCCCAGAAGCGCCCCCCCCTCCCTCGGTCTTCCTCCTCGTCCTGCTCCTCCTCCTCCTCCTCCTCCTCGTCTTCCCCCCTCCCTCCTCGTCTTGGTGCTCTTCGAGAGCACCAAGACGGCTCCAAGAGGGTGCCCAGACGGACGACCAAAACGGACATCTGGAGCTCTCGGCCCCAAAACGCTCTCTGCAGGCCCCTGAAGGGTCTTCTTGCTCCTCCTCCTCCTCCTCCTCCTTTTCCTCCTCCTCCTCCTCCTCCTCCTCCTCCTCGTCGTCGTCTTCAGGGTCGGCGTCACCGGCCGTGAGGCCTTCACAATGAAACGTTTGCGTCGGCGAGGAACCGAAAAACCCTTACCCAGTCAGTGTCCCGCGGGGCGCATCAAGGCACGAAGTGAACCCCATGCAGGAGCCGAAGGAGAGGAGGAAAGCAGTCACTGGAAATCAAGCACGCAGACTCCATGGAAACGACAACGCTTCCAAGAGGTACTGAAATTTACCGATATACTGTATGTAAATGTCAGGCTTAGCCCCTGTACAGACATCAGGACCCTGTGCAGGAACATAAACTGAACGCTCCAGGCTCCACTACATGAAAACTCCAACTGGACTTCAGGCAGACACGAAAGCGCACCGCAGTTCGCCGTCCCAACGGGCCAAACGCGTGCAAGAATCTCTGGCAAAAAGTTCCGAATATCTGCGTACTACAGATAAGCGCGCGCACGTGATGGTTCCGGGGGGTCCCGGAGAAAAAATACTCAGGCAAATTCCCCCCCAAAGATGAAGGAACTCATAGGCGCGAGTTTCCGGACACCTGTCAGCTACAGCCACGGGCGCCCCAGGCAGAGAGCTACAAGCGCCCCAAGACGGTGCAAGAGCGCTCAAGGATGGCCCAAGAGCCCCAGGATGGCCCAAGAGGATCCCTGGGGGGGCCGCTAGACGCAACAAAAAAATTGTCATTTAGATGTTCTGCAGATTCTAGCGTTCTCGTTTTTGCGAGCTTCCGAAAGCCCGAGATGGCCATCTAAAGAGCACCAGACGACCCACGAGGGCCCCAAGACGGCCCAAGAATTCCCCAAGACGGCCCAAGAGAACCTCCGAGACGCCAACATGCCCCCAAGGACACCCCAGAAGCGCCCAGGAGGCCCCGAGAGGCCCCAAGATGCACTCAAAGGAAAACCTTAGAGGGACTGCTGGGGATCAGCTTTGCCATGATCATGGCTGGCGTTGTCCCGCAAACAGAACTGTGTAATTAACGACCGCAGAGGAGCTCCATGCGAGCACACGCCAAGCGCATCTGGAAATTAGCATCGGCCAGCGGGCCCACACGAGCATGCAAGCAAATGGCAACGATGGTGCAGCATGGGCAGGCGGAATGCGCGAAGCGACTAAAGGAAACCCAGGCACGACCGGCAGAACCTCAGGCGAGAGCGGCCGCCAAGAGTAGAAGGAAAAACGCCATGAACATAAACTTTTGGCGCTTCGCGCGGAGTTCTTGGATCCGCGCTGAACCCCCCTCCCTGGCGCGCGGAGCGCGCCGGAGCGCGCCAGGGGCGGCGCCGGAGGCGCCGCCGAGGGGGCCCAGCGCGGATCCAAGAAATCCGCGCGGAGCGCCAAAAGTTTATGTTTATGGCGTTTTTCTTCTTCGAAACAGGCGAGGAGGCTTCCTGAAAGATCCCTGAGCAGGCTGGCCCAGAGGCCCCAAAGAAGCCCCAAAGAGAGGCCCCCTCCTTGTACGAGCAGGACCCCCCCTGTCGGGAATCCAACCATATTCCTGGAAGTCGACTCTCTCGCTGAGGGGAGGGAGCAAGGAACAGGGGTGAGGGTGGGTCAGAGCCGAGGATGCGAATCTCAAACTCTTGCACCACACTGTCTTGCAGAAGCGCCCCTGTGCGCGCACCTTCGGCCACCGACTGGCGCTGCGAGCCCCGACTGGGCAGCGGCCAGAACTGCACCTGCCACTTGAGCAACGTAGCCATGGACATCATGCGACGGGAGGAGGGAGGGAGTGGGGGAGGGAAGGCGGAATGTGCGAGGCGGGGACTTCTAGATATCCACCGCCGCCCAGGGTCCTGCCCATGGGGGACCGGTCCGCATGGCGGCGGGCATGGATGCAACCCCCCCGCCTCGAAGGATGGAAGGGGCCGGCACCTGCCGCGCGGAGGGCGCGGAGGGCGGCGAAGCGCGGGCGGGCCACGCTGGGGCCTTGGGGTCGACGCCGGGCTTGAAGACGGACGACCCCGCCACGATCATGTTGGCGCCGGCCTTGGCGGCCGCATCCACGGTGCTCGGCGAGAGGCCGCCGTCCACCTGCGCGGGCCGGGGGCGCGGAGGAGTCGGGCGCGCGCGGCCGCGTCTGCCTCGGCGCGCCCTCGCTCTCTGAGCCCTGCGCCCTCCCATGGGGCGGCGGGCGCGGCGGAGCGCTCCCGCTCCACAGCCGCGCAGGGAGCGGCGAAGGGAGGGGCGGAGGCGGGAGGTTGCTGAGGCGGCGCGGGACGCTGCGAGGAAGCGTGCTCCTGTGCAGCTGCTGGCGCCGGAACGTCCACGGCAGCGGCGCATGGAGAGGGGCTCCACAGTCGAGTGGGGGCGACGCACCAAGACCCCTGAGAGAGCCCCCGCCTTCGAGGAGGGCCCCCCCCCGCCTTCAAAGAGGCCCCCCCGCGTTCGAGGAGGCCCCCCCCCCGCCTTCGAGGAGGCCCCCCTGCCTTCGAGAGGCCCAACCGCCTTCGAGGAGGCCCCCCCCCTTCCTTGGAAGAGCCCCCCCCGCCTTCGAAGAAGGCCCCCCCGAACTGGATAAACAGGCTTGGGCACTCAGCACGTTTGAAGAGAGCTGGGGACGTGCGAAACAACCGAAGAGCGGTAACTAAAATAATACGATGCGACGCGACGATGCTGCTAATGCCCAAAAATAAAATCAAATGAACAAACAACAACAAAAACAAACAAACAAATAAAAAAAAACAAACTTGAGCCCAAATGGGCAACGGAAAGGCAGCGAGAGGAAGGAGGGGGAGACAGGGCACCCAGAGCCCGTCCCAGTCGATTAACGCCTTATCTTCTGCTACGCCCGAAATCTCACGTCGAACGGAGAAGGGAGGAGGGGAGAGGGAGGAGCGGCCCAGACTCTTCTAGCCTGGTGAGGCCTGGGGCAACGCACAAACAGCTCCTCCTCCTCCTCCTCCTCCTCCTCCTCCTCCTCCTCCTCCTCCTCCTCCTCCGCCTCCACCATCTGCTCCTCCGCCTCCTCCACCTCCTCCTCGTCCTCCTCCTCCTCCT